AATATTCAATTCCTATTTTTGATAAATGTTCTTAATTTAACCACTTCATTTTTCAAATTCTTATCTTTTAATTCCCTGGTTTTTTTATCCTTAATCCACTTGTGCCATTTTTCCCAAGCCGTACTATGTCTTGAGTCTTCTTTATCCCTAAGTTTTTGTGTAAGTCAGTCTATTTCAGAGCAGTCAAGAACTTTCTGAATAATCAAATTATTTGTTGGCATTTGGTCACCCTTCTAGCATTATGCCAACGCAATTCTTGCTGCCGTAATTATATGGAGAATTAAATATTTCATTTCTTTTGCGTAGTCCCCTTTAACATTCCCAACAAAAATATTTCGGCCTTAAGTTCTAGTTGGATACTTGTAATTTCTTTTATCCAAATTCTAATTTTTTCCCAATTTTTTTACTTTTTGGGCAAAGCCACTAAGTGTGAAAGAAGGTACCCCTTGTTTGCTTACATTTCCAGCAAGTCAGACTTAAGTTTGGGTACATATTCGCTAATCTTGAGGGTGCCACCGGTAACACATTTAATATTGATTTTCTTTATAGACAGCCGATTTTGTTATTTTGTAATTTTGTTTCCAAATTTTTTCCCAGTCTTCCAGATTAATGTTGTGCCCTACATTCCTTGCCCATGCAATCATTGGGCCTTTCACTAATTATTCTTTATACTTATTTGAACTGTCTGGGTTTTCTCATTTCTCTGGTGCTTGAGATTCCTTCTGTTATTCTCAGAATGTGCTCACAACCCATCTCACCAATCAGTCTCTTTTATTAAATATATTTTCAAACTCTTCTTAACCTTAACAGTGGCTTATCAGATGTCCTCTTCTGATTCGGATTATTCTTGTTTGTGATCCAGCATGAACTTCCTGGTGAACAGACAAAAATGTTTTAGAAAGTAAATTTCAAGACCCACAAAAGGGAGAATGAAGCTTTAGCTATAGGTCATAGTTTTGACCCTATTTGAGGGACACAGCTTGAGTCATTTAAATTCATACTGTATCTCTTTGCTGACAGAAGCAAAGGAGAAGTATGTTTTGTAAGAAGACTAAAGTCCATCCTCTCTGGCATTATCTGAATGAGATCATTGATCTTGACCTTAGCCTGAGTTTTACAAACTGAAAATATGGTGAGCCTGATTTAATAGCATTATCACTGTCGGCACAGAGAGGTTTCTGAAACATGCCAGTGTCAGTCTTTTAATTTCTTTCTTTTTTTCTTTTTTCTTTCCCTTCTTCCTTTCTTTTTTTCCTTCTTTCCCCTTCTATCTTTCTCTTTCTTTCTCTTTCTTCCTTCCTGTCTTTCTTTTTCTCTCTCTTTCTTTCTGACTTGCTTTCTCCCTTAGTTTCTCTTTCTCTCTTTCACTCTTTTTCTTTCTCTTTCTCTCTTTCTCTCTCCTTTATTCCTTCATTCCTTCCTTCTTTCCCTTCAAGCCAGTTTTTGACCCTTGGCAACTGACCAGACTAGTCCCTGAAGTTTTCTTGGCAACATTTTTCAGAAGTGATTTATTGTTTTCTCCCTTCCCAGGGTTGGGAGAGAGTGACTGGGCCAAGGTCACCCAGCTGGGGTTACGCTCAAGGCAGGACTAGAGCTTATGGCTCTGTATTTTCAGCCTGGTACCTTAACTACACTACAAACTGGGTCTCTTTCTATGGAATGTTTAAAATATATCTGTCCATTGGATGCTAACAATGACAAGCTGAGAATGATTCTTCACACCAGAGGTAGAATTTCGTATTTGTCCCATTCTTAAGATATTTTTACTGAAATATAGGCTCTCAAGCCTCCCTTAGTCCTGTGAAAATTGGAAAACCTACCCTCATTCAATTATAAACAAATCCCCAAAAGACACATTCTGTTAACAACAACTAAGGCTGGGTCTAAATCTAGCTTTAAGTAATGAAACCATAAACATTGGGGTTGTGTTCACAAAAGTTGCTAAGCCAAAACTAAGTCAATAATAATTCGGAGAACAGATTCCAAATCTGCTGGTTTTCTGTCAAACTATTCAATTTAAAAGGCCGTTTTATTTTTTTATTTTATTTTTTGTTACATATTCATTTTGTGCAGTGATGTATATGGGCCTCTAGTGGCGTGATGCAGAACTGTAAAAATATCTCCCTTGTCTTGCATTTGTACTGTAAATCCCCTATTCGTCACCCACATCGTTCAGCTAAGCATGTCGCACAGTTCTCAGCCTTGCTGCTGAGTTTGCTAGTCTTTAGGTTGGAGGTTTATTCCCCGCTTCTCTGCCATCTTCCTAGCTCAACTTCTTTTTTGCCACACTCACCCACAAGATTGATGGGACCAGTGGTGGGATTCAAATTTTTTTACTACCGTTTCTGCGGGCGTGGCTTGGTGTGCGTGGCTTGGCGAGCTTGGCAGGGGAAGGATACTGCAAAATCCCCATTCCTTCCCCACTCCTGGAGGAAGGTTACTGCCAAATCCCCATTCCCTCCTTATACCACTAACCTGCTTTCCAGCTCCGTTCTCCTGTGCAGGGCAACAAAAGAAGACCCAGCTGATCAGCTGGGACTTGGGAGGCAGAGAATAGATGGGGGTGGGGCTAGTCAGAGGTGGTATTTGCCGGTTCTCCAGACTACTCAAAATTTCCGCTACCGGTTCTCCAGAACTGGTCAGAACTTGCTGAATTCCACCTCTGGATGGGACACGTTCTCCTGTTAAGTGAGAGGGATCTTGGAGTCCTAGTGGACAACCATTTAAATGTGAGCCAGCAATGTGCAGCAGCAGCCAAAAAAACCAACACAGTTCTAGGCTGCATAAACAGAGAGATAGAATCAAGATCACGTAAAGTGTTAATACCACTTTATAATGACTTGGTAAGGCCACACCTGGAATACTGCATTCAGTTTTGGTCATCACAATGTAAAAAAGATGTTAAGACTCTAGAAAGAGTGCAGAGAAGAGCAACAAAAATGATTAGGGGACTGGAGGCTAAAACATGAAGAACAATTGCAGGAACTGGGTATGTCTAGTTTAATGAAAAGAAGGACTAAGGGAGACATGATGGCAGTATTCCAATATCTCAGGGGCTGCCACAAGGAAGAGGCAGTCAATATATTCTCCAAAGCACCTGATGGCAGGAGAAGAAACAATGGGTGGAAACTAATCAAGAAGAGAACAAACCAAGAACTAAAGAGAAATTTCTTGACAGTTAGAACAATTAATCAGTGGGATGACTTGCCTCCAGAAGTTGTGAATGCTCCAACACTGGAAGTTTTTTAAAAAGATGTTAGATAACCATTTCTCTGAAGTGGTGTAGGGTTTCCTGCTTAGGCAGGGGGTTGGACTAGAAGACCTCCAAGGTCCCTTCTAACTCTGTTATTCTATTCTATTCTATTCTATTCTATTCTATTCTATTCTATTCTATTTTTATTGCAACAAGTGTAATAACAGAAACTTGCAAGTCTGAATGTGCTTATCTCCATGTGAATTAGGGAGGGGTCTGTCTGAGACCTTTATTCATTTTTTTTTTTTGTAAGCTGCCCAGAATTACTGATGTGAGTGAATGGGCAGCTATAAATATTTTATTAAATAAATAATTCTTCTTTCTTGGAATAAGTTCAAGATCTTCTCATCTGATTATTGCCTTAGTGGTACCTTTTTCTCTTGTCTTGTCAAGTCCATTTCTTATGCCCTCTACAATATATTACAGGTAGTTTTCCACTTATGGCCACAAATGTATGTTGCTAAGTGAAACATTTTAAAGTTAATTTTACGATGTTTGCCTCATTTTCTTCCCACAATTGTTAAGTGAGTAACATAGTTGTTAAGTGAATCTGGTTTCCCCACTGTCTTTGCTTGTCAGAAGGTCGCAAAACGAAATCACTTGACCCCAGGACACTGCCACCATCATAAATATGAATCAGTTGTCAAGTGTCTGAATTTTGATCATGTGACCATGGGGATGCTACAGCAGTCCTAAATATGAAAAACGGTCTTAAGTCACTTTTTTCAGTGCCATTTTAACTTCGGTCACTAAATGAACTGTTGTAAGTGTGAGGACTAACAGTAATTATGTGTCTGGAAACCTCTTTTTTGCCATAATATATCTTTATTAAGTTATAAAGTAATATAAAATGCAAAATATAAAAGTAAATAAAAGAGCAGTGAAAAGTGAGGGGAAAGGGGAGAGAGAAGTGAGGGAAGATAGGGAAAAGAAGAAGAAAGACTGACTTCCGATTCTCTCTGTTATAGTAGAATAGGACATTAACACCAAATCACCCCTTTTTGTTTTTCCATAATAATATAAACAAGTCATTTCTATCAGTGGTGGGATTCAAATTTTTTTACTAATGGTTCTGTGGGCGTGGCTTGGTTGGTGGCATGGCTTGGTGGGCGTGGCAGGGGAAGATTACTATAAAATCTCCATTCCCTCCCCACTCCAGGGGGAAGTTTACTGCAAAATCCCATTCCCTCCCCACCCCACTAACCTGCTTTCCAGCTCTGTTCTTCTGTGCAGGACAACAAAAGAAGACCCAGCCAATCAGCTGGGACTCGGGAGGCAGAGCATAGATGGAGGCGGGGCCAGTCAGAGGTGGTATTGGCCGATTCTCCGAACTACTCTAACTTTATGCTACCGGTTCTCCAGAACTGGTCAGAACCTGCTGAATACCATCTCTGATTTCTATTAAGATCTATCAATCTAATCTATAAAACCCCAAGTCCAAGCTACATTCTTTCCCACATCAAGCACGAAATTCAGAAACAATTTCCATATGAAAACAAAAGTCAGAACAGTCAATTTTGCCATTTCAGCCAACGGAACAAAGGAATTCACCCATGTACCTAGCAAAGAAACCTGTTTCTGCTTAGGTACATGGGTGAATTCCTTTGTTTGCATTGATAGTACTGTTGGCCAGAATGGAATTTCCCTCCCCTAGAAGCACCGAAAAAAAGGAAGGTGTTGCCTTGTTGGTCTTCTACACCAATAACAACAAATGTTTCATTCTGGTAACACAGTTCCTCGTTTTGCTTTCACTTTAGCTTAAGAGCTATCCTGAAGACATGTTCCAGCTACTGCTTTTCATCTCCCCGGTAAGTATTTATCCATATGTAGAGCTTTTCTACCCAAAAGAGTTCACCTGAGGGGTATTATTTTGGTAGGAGAAATTCAGTTGCTCCTTTTGATGTATCTGTCTGTGGAATTTCTCTCAGGCACCCCGGGTCACTGTTGTCTCAAAGGTGCTTTCCCTCCCCCCTTCTTCTTCAAACGGCAACCTGACTATTCATTTGTTTTTTTCTTGAGGGAGAAGAAGGAAATGTTTCGCTTCTCATCCAAGAAGCTTCATCAGTTCTGATCGCAGGAGTGGGGGGATAGGTACGGAAGGTTGAGACTGATTGATTGATTGATTGACTGGATGGTGGGGGCATGGAAGGATAGGTTCTGACTGAATGGAGGGCGAGTTTACAATCTTTCCATTCCAGTCATAACTGTGAGTTATGTGCCATCCCCTGTGCCATCACCACTGACGAAGCTTCTCAGATGAGAAGTAAAACATTTTCTTTTTCTACCTCAATGAACAAACAAACAAACAAACCCAGTCCAGTTGCTTTTTGAAGGGGGGGGAAAAAAAGCATCTTTGAGATTTTGACCTATCATGTAGTTGAAATTATTCTATCTGTTGCTTTTAACAAGAGTGGTAACTTTGTACACAAAAAAACATGTTGCATTTTTAAGTAGAAAAGAAAGGCACTAAGAAGTCTCTGTGTAGTTCAGTTCAGGAAGAGGTAATTAAAGCTTTTTCTCTTTCAATTGTAGAAGTAGAAATTTACAGTGTCAGATATAGGCAATATATCAAATTGCCTTTATTACCTCAATTGCCAGCAAACTAAAATCATTTGACGATTTTTGATCCACCAGGAGGTTAAAACCTTAAAATATTTCAACTGCAATAACTTAAGATGCCATTCTAAGTTCATTCTCATACACAGAAACTTTTTAAATTATCCTGCATCTTGGCAAAATATCTTTCAGAGACATGACAATACTGAAGGTTCCTGTTTAAGGTGCTGCACATTCTGTCTGCATAGGATATTCAAAGCTATAAAATTTTGAAGGTCTTTTTAATTGCTTACCATGCTAATTTCCTTTTTTTTTAAATTAATTCTTTGGATAGGAAAGATATAAAAAAATATCACTACCAGTTCTGAGGATGTGCCGTTAAATTCAAGTTGACAAGAAAGTACCTTTTAATCTTTTTTGGTTCAGTGGTTCCCATTCTTCACCTTATTTTAGCTGTTTCTGGTCAACCAATTCTAATTTCAAATGTGAAACTTTTAACTGATCTTTCATGTGAAAAAGTCCCTGCAGTTTTAAACAAAGTAGCACACCTGGGAAGCTTTTTTGGATGAACTAGATTTTTATGAGAAAGGAGGTTTCTATTCAGAGGAGCAGTGTAGTATTCAGAAATGCATTTCTATCTAACCAACTTCTCCCTACTTTGAAATAATGTAGCCCCATCCTAAGAAATTACCCGACATTCTGTGGGAAGGAAAGCTCTTATACCTGAACAGTTCTCAGCTTAACTTCACCTTACATGAGAAAATAAAAGAGATCGTGTTTAAATGAATGAAAG